AAATAAGGTGTTACAAGTTACTACTTTTTGCACATTGAAAGCCGAATTTGATATTGAACTTCTTAGAACTAGCAACATTTTCTTCAGGCTCTAGAACCCGAAGGCCGAGACGTGTTCCTTCCTCGGCCGCAGTCGCAAAATCAAGAAGTCAGCAGCACGCTCAATGCAGCATCAACTCATTTTACTCACCGGCCAAGCTCGGCCGTCAAGTTGGCACGCCCCGCACACAACCTAAGGACGTAGTTAGCTCATTAGTTACTCAGCCTGCGTGCCACGTAGGCTTGGTAGTTTTTAGAGTCAACAAAATCTCAACAATAAATCTTTATCGGTTTTTTATTGGATGACTTGATAAGTAATTAACTTTTGACTAGTCATCTTGGATTTGCATTTATCATGTAATAATTGAAATTTGTTTGGAAAATAACTTTACAATGTGGAAGGATTCAGCTCTTCCACAGCAACTAGCACGACAAGTCCAAGAACACAAAGGAAAAAACTACACTGTAAATTAAAGGTCAATACATTTTAGCATTTTCTTATCCGCAAAGAATCAAATTAGGTATTGCAGTTAATGGTATATTTCTAATATAAAATTATCAATCTATAGGATTAGAGCAGATATAGAGGGAGATCAATCAGCAGTACAATGAAAAACCAGTGGTATTAGGCTTAGCTAGCATTACGTGGAAAACCAGTTATTAAAACAGATGGATGGGACTAGCACTAGAGTCCCATAGTAAGTACTATCTAAACCTAGGGAATCATTATCCTTAACTAAAGGTACATCGTTGTGACGCCGAAGCGACTGTTACAGAGTTTAATACCGATAATCGCCACATGTTCATGTTCATGATTGAATAAGGATAAACCAGGACAGCGCTGGTTGTGATCTCTTGGTGCATATATGATATATATATATCTGATAGATCATGGATCATGTTCTTGCCAGTCAATGATTATATCTCAAAGTGGAAAAGCCATTGTGGTATATATTCCAAATTGGTGGTGTTCTCTGAAATAAAATAGAAAAGGGCAAACAACTGCTCTCAAGAATCTCATCATCACAAAGTAGAAAGACGGAGCTTTGTGGCGAACCTTGTGCGTAATGACTCGTGAGTCTGGGGAAGGCAAAGTGGCGGAAAGGAATGAAAGAAACAACCAATTAAGCAAGTGGGGTTGAACAATGACTTGATTCCAACTTTATTAGTTGAAAATTGAGATGGAAATCATCTCTTAATTATTCAATTTGCAATCTAATTTTATCTTTAATTTGTTAAATCCTTGTGTAAGACATCTATACTTTAGAACAAACCCTAGTGGCTAATTTTCATGTTCACTCAGTACGACTCGAGATGTTTTAGGAAGTTTTATCTTTACTACAATTCCGATATTATGACAGAAGATTAGTAGTGAAAAGTGTAAACACAAATCTTTAAAAGCAATATTATTCTCAGTCCCAGCAGTGCGTTATCTCTTTCGGCACCAGAAAATACATCTCTGGCAAGGATTTGCCACATGCATCTAACCCCAGCTTAATGTGTACTGGCCAATAAGTCTCCGATTCTCCACCTATTTCTTTAGGAAACTATTTTCCTCATCTCACTTTTTGTGTTTTTTATTGCCACTCAGCTGGAGTTTAGTCAATGCAAATAGAGGAAAGTGCAAATCTGTGTTATGCATGCTCATTAGGATTAAACTAATCACCAGTCAACTTGTTACTCGAGTAATCAGAACACGTAATATTTATGCCCGCGTTCGCTGTATGCATTCAGTGCTCAGACTTCATCATCAGTTTTGCTACCAACCTTATGCACAATGAAGAAACACCTTTTCCCAAAATCAGAAACTCCACATACTTTAAGATTTCATTTGACCAATCGTGATCAGCACCAAGTCACCAAATGCTGAAAGGTTCAAGCTTGCTGTGTATTTTTTTGTCTTTCTATAACCCTGTTAGGTACGTAGCAAGTGATATGCATCAGCAATCTGATCAAAGTTGAGATAAAGCGCACTGATTAGCGATAACCAGCTCCAGGTTTGAAATCAACTTTACAAATTTAAAAATTCGGGATCAAATTTAACCCACTATGATCTGCAAGTGATATAGAGGATGTTTTGCACTAGAAAAACCTGCACGACATATACTTTATTATATAGAATTGAGAAGACAACACAATTCCCATTACTGTCGTTGTTGTCAACGTAAGATAAGCTTATAGTCTCAAGTTTTCTAGATCCCTCCAAGGTGAACCAGCCAGACACTTTCAGTATAAACTAGTAACTAGATAATGCGAACAGGATCACTGGATTTGTTTCTACTCGGAAGACTTGGATAATGCAAACCGGCCTAGGCTATTAGTGCCGTGGAAATCACTTATCACTGCCTTTACACTCGGTGAATCTATAGGGACTATTGGTTTTAAGATCTAGCAATATGTACTCTTGCTTATAATTTCTCCCTTCTCTTTTTGACGTAAGTTTCCTGACAATTAAACAAGACTTTTCATATGCGCATATGTCTGATGCATCAAACACTACAAATTTTCGTGCTACATGTCTCAAAATAATAAACAAAATAACAATGCTTGGGCCAATAATCTGCTACTAGCAGGACATTTATAATCTTCTGTCTATTGCCTCATGTTAATTACCTGCTTTTGGAGAAGAGCCATCTAATTAATCTCATTGGTTGGAAGAAGAAAAGGCAACGCCACTTGGTTTACATGTTAACACATTGCGAGTCTTTCTTACCTAAAAAACGATGTCACCAAGCAATTAAAATATTTAAAGAGGACTATCCGCATCATATCCATCCAGAAGCAGCTAACATACATTTTGAAGGGAGGAAAGGGGGGTACATTAGAATTCGTAATCATGTAATACTGAAAATTTTATATCTTAATCATAAAGTATAACATTTGGTTGAACCAGAAGCAAATCGTGCGCCTAATCCATTCATCCAATTAGTGTTGGTCCTATACTTCGTTCCACACTACAAAAAGCTAGCTTACACTTAGTGTTCTTTTTAGAGGGTAATATAACTGTGCATAAAGTTCTTCATTGGACCAGATTATGAATTATGATAGGCTTTCCGTCCGGGCGCATGTCGTTCTTGCTTACATAATGCTTTTTCTAGAACACATACTCGAACCTATAGATTTACATAAAAAGAACAAGATCTTCCATTACTTTTCCCAGTTGGTTGGTGTGAGAGTTATCTACTGCAAGATTTTATAAGAGATGATGATCATGTTGCCCTGCAAATCAAGTTGCATCCAATTAACTGAAACGTTAACTGATAATTAGATGAACAAAAAATGCAGCTGTTCTGTGCATTGATGGATTATACACATAGCACTATGTTACTTTCATCTTACTTGTATTCATGCAGTTATACTTCACTTCTGCATCAGTGTAAGAAGAAAATCTTCCCTAGACAGAAAGGTAACGCTGATTTTGGCACACTCCTCTTGTGAATCCTTTAGATTGTAGCTTTTCCATAAGAGGGAAGTGATTTTCGCATTTCCTTTTGTCCTATGCACCCTTTTTTTTTCTAGCCTTAAAATTGAATAAACTAAAGGAAAATCAATGCATAAAAACAAGAAACTAAGAGCGTGAAAATCACTACTGTTTTAATAATTTTACTAGACTACAGGAGAAGTGTCAAAGTTCTCTTGGATCCATGGTTCCACTTTTTAGAGGCAAAACAAATCTGATTAAGTGGCCGAACATTCGGACCATTAGTCAAATCACTTGGATAACCCAGAAATATTAGGTAAAAATCAACAACAGAAAATGTGGAATCTGCAGGAGACTTGTTCCACGTTATATCATCGGTAATATCTTAACTTTTTCGCATTTTAAAAGCTTCCTCAGTGCCCTTAGTGGAACCACTAATATCATACCGCCTCCAATAACTATGAACTGTGCTGCCTTTTGTCTTTCTTCTTCCCTTTTGCCCGTTCCAGTTTGACTCCACTACTGTCTTTTCTAATTTTTGTTTTTACGATAATGATTACTTTACATTGTTCAATATAATCTTTCGAGCTCCCTGTCACTCTTACACGAATTCAACCAACATGAATTATTCATTAAGATAAATATCATTCGGTTACAATATCATATATACGCCGGAGAAGCTGACCCATAAAAAACTAAGGCATAAGTTCCTAGCTGTAACGATTGGTATTAATTTGGTATTAATGCAAGGAGTGTGTCTTGGGTGTAGGTGTGGAGATATTTTTCAGTGTGATCGGTACACGGGGTGGTACATCATGTGTCACTATTCAAATGATGGGATATGTGTGCTAAAAAATTAATAACTTAAAAAATAAAATTTCCCACTACTTCTATTAAAACACGTAGTGTACCACTTGTGTACCCGTTACAATTAAAAATTTCTCCATGTGAGATGACACAAAAACCTTGGTCTTCCAAAAGGGTGTGTCTTGGGTGTCGGGGACAAACGTTTTGTAGTTTGTAGTTACTGATTTTTAGATTTACACAACTTGGAATTCTCCATGAAAACTAAAAGAAAACTACAATTAACCACCCTAGGCTTAATTTCTTTAACAATTTAACAATATGTCACCAACATCCAACTTTTCATTCGAAATCATGTTAACATAAAGTTTAATCACGTGACTTGCACGTCAAACATTTTGAGGTCAATTTTTGTCCATTCACAAGAAAATGAAGGTTAAAAACAAAAACACGAATGTTGTCAAATTTTTGTTACATTTCAAGGTCTGGAGACAGTTAAGTTTGCAGCTACAGGCAAATTCAACGTCGTCTAATCGGCTTCTCCAACATATACAATTGGCAAAAAAATGGATGAAATTTTTAGGAAAAGATGTTAGATGTTGAAGTCTTGAATTGATGATATTGACCTAATAACAGTTGGCTTACAAGTCACGTTACCAAACTTAACGAAAGCGTCTATGAAAATTGGATGTAAGTGACACATTATCAAAATTAAACTAAAAGTTGAAGATAATAAACTGATAATTACCCTATTATCAAAGTGAAAAAAATACAAAAAAAAGTCGAGATATTACTCGTGCAATTTTCGAAAAAAGGAAAGTAGAATTAAAAATGAAAAAAAATAAACATCCTTGAGTCACAAACCTGCTGAACCGAGGGCGAACACAACTCGAGCAAATCAACATCAAGCCAACCTAAAAAACAATGGAAAAGTCATATCCTTCTCTCTCATCACTCAGTCGTCGGCTTCTCTTGAAGCAGAGCAGAGGAGCAAAAGCACTTCCAACGACGGAGGAACAAGAAATCCTCACCACCACCACCACCCCAACCCGACTCCCCAACTACTGGGGCACCACACCAGAGCAAGACTACTACAATCTCCAGGGCATCAAATCCTCCAAATCCTTCTACACCTCCCCCAGAGGCCTCAAGCTCCTCACCCGCCAATGGCTCCCCCTCCGTCGTCCACGTCTTTATGGTCCACGGCTACGGCAACGACATCAGCTGGACCTTCCAAGCCACCCCGATTTTCCTCGCCCAAACCGGCTTCGCCTGCATCGCTCTCGACCTTGGGGCTAGGCGGCTCCGACGGCCTCCGCGCCTTTGTCCCCGACGTTGGCCTTGTGGTCAACGACTGCGTATCATTCTTCAATTTGGTCAAACAGCAGGACCCCCAATTTCATGGACTCCGCTGTTTTTTATACGGCCAGTCCATGGGCGGGGGCGGTTTGCCTCCTCATGCACTTCGCCGCCCCGGCGGCGTCAGAAGAAATGGGCGATAGTCCCCACCGCCGACCTGATTTGGAAGTCAGTGAAGGTGGAGGGAGAAGAAGATCGTGGCGGAGGTGAATCCGGCGAGGTACCGGGGAAAGCCGAGGCTGGCGGCGGTGGTGGAACTGCTGAGAGTGACGCAGTACGTGAGCGAGGGATTGTTGGACGTGAGCCTTCCGTTTATTGTGTTGCACGGCAGCGCTGATGTGGGGACGGGCCCGGAGGTGAGCAGGGCGTTGTATGCGGCGGCGAAGAGCGAGGATAAGACGTTGAAGATTTATGAGGGGATGATGCATTCCTTACTCTTTGGGGAGATTGATGAGAATGTGGAGGTTGTGAGGGGAGATATTTTGGGTTGGTTGAATCACCGGTGCGGCGGCGGCGGCAAAAGAGATGAATGACGTGAGATTCTTGCATTAATGCCTAATTGTTACACGTTCAGAGTTCGATTCACTGGATTCCCCGCCCTTTCGAACTTATGTATATCTCTAGAACTTACATTTCACACCGAAGCCATTCACTTGTAAATGAGGTCTCAAGGTCGCAGATTCAGCTCACTCAAATGGCGAGTTCTTATCACTGACAAGAACTCGCCATTTGGTATCAAAATACCAAAAAAAACCAAAACCTGGTCTCAGTCATCCCATCTCGAATTGTCACGAATCAACAGGGCAGCAAAGTAGCAACAAATCATTAAAAAAATAAAAAAATAAAAGATCAACAACACGGGTCACCAAAGTTTTAGAGTATCACCACCAAATCAGTATTATACAGAGCGATCACCAAGCCGAACTTTTGTATAAATCATAACGAAGCAGAGAAACTAATAGAAGATGAACCAAGGGAAATACCCTCTACGATTTACAAATCGGCGAGAAACGAATCTTCTCAGCTTTAATTGCTGTAGACTACCTACTATTCCACATCCTATACAGTATGATGGACAACGACGAGGACGGGTAAAGAATAGAAATCGTTAGATGAAATTTGTGGGGAAAAGAATTGATCATGTGATTCTATACAGACTGTTAACATAATCTTCGAGTTGATAGCCCCATACGCTGCTACTTTTCAGATCTATTGTCAGATAATCTTCGAGTATCAATCCTGCTGCTGCCAATGCCAAAAAACAAAACAAACCTATCGACATACCTTTTTCTGTTAGCAAAACCAAAATCTCCTCGACCTATAAAGTTCTCTCTAATCACATCATAAACAGGTACTTGAGATCCTCTACCGTCAGGCGAGTCTGTCCACCACCTGTTTTATCCTCTCCAAACGCAGACGATACCATCTCTCTCTTCTTTTGCTGTGGAAATCAACCATGTGTATCATAGCATCAGAATGGCAGTACAGGAGAATACACAAATTAAATTATCAGTCTAACAACGAAATATGTAAAAAACAACGGCCCTACAGTATTTTGAAGTGCAAACTTGAACTGAAGCAATGAATTTTTTTAATCATATTCAATCCTATTTTGTAGTGATTAAGAAAATTAAACTATAAACAAGAAGAAAAATTACAGAAGAAATCAAGGGCAGTACCTGAAGGGCTAAAATTCGATCTTCGACAGTATCTCTAACGGTCAAACGCAAAACTGTAACAGGACGAGTCTGCCCAATCCGATGAGCTCTATCAATTGCTTGATCTTCTGTGGTAGGATTCCACCAGAGGTCCAAAAGAAGAACATGACAAGCTGCAACCATGTTTAGACCAAGACTAGCTGCTTTCAAAGACATTATCATGACTGTCACCTACACGAAGCAGGGTCAAACTTCAGAACCATTGGGGCCAAATGCAAATACCAACTAAAAGATTATTTTGAAGATAATATCAAAGATCCAAGATTTCCTATTATTTCCACAAACCTCTGGAAGGGTGTTAAAATCCTTGACAGCTTTATCCCTAGCTGTTACTGACATTGTTCCATCGAGTCTTCTGTACTCAATGGAAGATGTTTTAAGACAATCTTCAAGCAAGTCCAGCATCCTCGTCCACTGTGAAAAGACTATTGCTTTTTCTCTAACTACCTTCTTTGAATTCTGAGGATTAGTCACCAAATCCAAGTTCTGTCTCTTAGGAACGTCCTCAGGTGGTTCAACCACACAAATATCAGAAGACTTTTCGGAAGAGTTGGCATTTCTATCAACTGTGTCTTCTATGCAACTATTTCCAGAAATACAACCCTGTGGTTTACACATTGCGCAGAGAACGTCAAGGGCAGCCTTAATCTTGGAAGAGTTGTACGAGCGATCCTCATAGAAAGTCTCTACAGCATCAAAAACTTCAGAACCAATGCTTTCTGGATTAGTCTGGTCAGAAAGAGAACTGTTCAAAGTGGCTTTTGAAAACACTGAAGAAGCGTGGAGTCGAACTTTGCAATTTGTGCTTGGGCACTGGTTGTCATCGCCAGTAAGATGTTCATTAATGCATTGGCTACAGAAGACATGACCACATTCGGAAACAACAGCATCTTCAGGCGGATCCTAAGAAAATAAAAACTGGGGTGTCAGCCGGACAGCTCGGAATGGTCTAATGTTCTATATAATTTATTCAAATATTGACTTTTTTTACCATTCCTAGCTAATTCTATTAAAAAGATTCCTAACTGTACTCATCACAAAAAATACAATAAAGAATTTGTAAAAGAAACATCAGGTATAATTATACAAAATTTTCACCTCAATGGCATTTATAAAGATACAAGAGCAGTATCAGATTTAATATGCTCTGCATGGAAGATCCTTTAAAAAAGAAAAGTATGCTCCACAAGAAAGTATATCACAATAACACAGTGAGGCTATACCAACTACGCATATTAATTTGGAAAATCAGAAAATGCCATCCAACCATTTTAAAATACAAATAAGGAAAAGAAAAACAGATGTTAACAGTAAACACTTACATTGCAGATGCTGCATATTGCCAAAGAAGCTTCTAAACAATTCAGAAGGGATTGTTGTTTATCACGAGGAAGTTTCTTTGCGTTCTCAACTGAAGATCTCCATAAAGAATTTGAATCATACCGTCTAACAAGAAGAGGGTGATCACAAGCTTGTCGAAGACGCAAAAGCATCAACAAAATGTTAACATAATTTTGTTTAACAGTTCCAGCAGCTGCATATTCCTGACGTGAAGAATAGATATTTTAGAAAATGACCAAAAGGAATTAACATGGATACCTCATGCTCTGAAAAAGACTAGAAAAGAAAAAAAGCCAAAAGCCTCCTTTCAAGAGGAAAAAAGGGCATGTCAGAAAAATATGAAAACAAAACTGATATCAACACCAACATTAGCTTTGTACTAAACCATACTTCAAACTGAGCACGTGAATCAGCCTCTAGCCTCGAGTAGAAATCCCGTTCTTCCTTCGAAAACTCCACCCTTTTCAATTCTATAGATTTAGGTGGTAAAGTAATAATAGGTTCTCCGTCAAGAAGTGTGCCTACAGCAAGAAATTACCATCAGATGGAGATAATCAATACTGATTAAAATGGAAGTTGACTATAAGAATTTTAGTGGAAAGAAAATGATGAAACTTGGTTTCAATTTAAAAGCAAGTTCTGAAAGGAAATGCCTTGTGAATTCACTTCCGACCACAGAACTTAAGCTTAATAAATCATAATATATACCAGAAAATAAGAATGACTTGTAAAAGATAGTTCACTCAGGGCTAAAATCAACACATACCCAATGAATTTTCCAAAGGCACCAAAAAAACTAGCAAAGTATTATTATCAACCTAAGATTATTTTTATTCAAGGAGAAACAATCAATGAACAGATATAATATATTTGGTCCCACCTTTAGTGCGGCGTAACATAATTGTCTTCAGAACAGCTTGAAGTTTTCTGTACCCTTTTGTTGGATTCCTATTGATTGGGACCTTAATTGTAGAGCAAAATGACTTGTATACAGCATAAGGGTCGTATTTTAGAAATCTGAAGTAGCTATAAAGGTCATCAATTGCATTCTGGATAGGAGTCCCTGATAAGCACCACCTACGTTTCGCACGAAGACCCCAACAGGCCCTAGCTACTTGAGTTCTGTGATTCTTAATACTCTGAGCCTCATCCAGAACAACCCTAAACCATGCAACCTTAGCAAGAGGGCGAGCAACAGAATCGAGCACAGCACTCTCTAATCCCTTTTTACCTTTTGAGCCTTTATTTGCAGAATTTTGAGGGTATTTCCTTTTCTTACTGTAATGTGGACCATCGTACTCATCTCGCTTTCCTTTCTCCTCATCGTCGTCATCAACAAGAGGCTGCTTAGGAACCTCCATGCTGACAATTGAATATGTTGTGAGAACAACATCATGCTTAGCCAGTTCCAAAGGATCCCTTGTCCGGTTACATCCATGGTAAACTAGCACCGAGAGATTAGCTTTTTCAGTTACCTTGTTCTGCAGCTCCTCAGCCCATTGCCGGAGGACACTCGTGGGACAAACAACAAGTGTTCCAGCAGCTGGCCTTCCCTTTGCTTGTATCAAAGGTTTTATGCTCTCATTTGGAGTTCCATTTGAAATAACTTCATGGGCATCAGCATGTTGCTTCTTTCCACCAATCTCAAAAGGCATATCATCGTCATTGTCCAAATCCAGAGTTTCCAGCTTGTGCATTTTTACATCTTGACAAGCTCCAGATGAAGGCCTTTCCTTAAGTATAAGTGCAATTGTTGATATTGTCTTTCCCAATCCCTGAAAAATGAAAATCAAATATACATAAGAATATTAGACACAAGTACTTGAAAGATGGAAGTGGTGATAGCTAATCAATACTGAATAGTATAGACCTGATCATCAGCAAGAATTCCTCCAGAACAGTGCAAACTTGCTGTCTCTTTCTGAACCATCCATGACAATGCAATTCTCTGCCCAGGACATGAATTAAACTTAGATGGACCCTTTTCAGTGCATTCACCACAGACACACGTATAAAACCAGACTAGGCACAGTGCAGTAGACTCCTTGGAAGGAAAGGATAAAAACCAACTAATAACTATTCCAAATAACAAGATGCGTATGACTTTTAAATCAAATCCTAAACATTAAAATAGAGTGCCAAAACACTTAACTGGCAGCTGAAATAATCCAACTTCTAATTTAAGCTAGAAGATTTTGATTCTGTAACAAGAACCATATTGTAAACCTCCATAAACTATTTAAAGGAACATGTGAAACTGGAAACTTTTTTTCTTGTCTATTTAAATACAATAGAATAACCCTTTTCTTTACAATAGAAACAAGGCAATAAACATGTATCCACATTTATTTTAGTTGATATCACTATACCAGAAAACAGATACTTATCAAATTCCCAGTAGTCCCCACATTTGCCTTTTTACAGGTTGTTCAGACTATATTTATCTAGAATTAAAGTCAAGAGAGGGTAGAATTCAAAACCTGGTGCCGTAACAGAGGAACTGCTAAAAGTCCATCCGGTGGAATAGCTTCTGACTTGGGCTGTGAAAGGTCCTGCACACAAAATTCATCTCAGCAAGGTTTCAGATCTCAACTTTCAGTGATGGACATGAGTACTTTCAATTTTTCTCACTAAAACAGAGAACCAAAACTATATACAGGACACAATGCGGGAACATGATAGAATTTTGAAAAGTATTTCAAAAACTAGCCATCAAAATATAAATTCTGATGACCCATTTTATAATATAAAAGCTACTTGATCAGTCAACAATTTGACACAGAAAAAG